AGTGCAGTGCCTCGATCTTGGCTCACTACAACTTCTGCCTCCTGGGTTCGAACGATTCTCCTGCCTCAGCTTCCCAGTAGCTGGGACTACAGGCGAATGCCACCATGCCCAGCTAATTATTGTACTGTTAGTAGAGATGGAGTTTTGTCATGTTGGCCAGGCTGGTCTTGAAATCCTGACCTCAGGTGATCCGCCTGCCTTGGCGTCTCAAAGTGCTGGAATTATAGGCATAAACCACTGCGCTTGGCGGGTCTGAAAATTTTATTTGAGACAGGATCTTACTCTATCACCCAGGCTGGAGTGCAGTGGTGCAATCTTGGCTCACTGCAGCCTCAACCTCCTGTGCTCATGTGATCCTCTCACTTCAGCCTCCTAGGTAGCTAGGTCTATAGGTGCATGCCCTCACATGTGGCTAGTTTTTGTACTTTTAGTAGAGATGAGGTTTCACTATGTTGCCCAGATTGGTCTCAAACTCTTGGGCTCAAGTGATCTGCCCGTGTCAGCCTCCCAAAGTGTTAGGATTACAAATGTGAGCCACCACAGCTAGCTGGGTCTGAGTATTTTTTTTTAATTTTAATTTTATTCATTTATTTTTGAGACTGGGTTTTGTTCTGTTGCCAAGGCTGGAGTGCAGTGCCACAATCTCGGCTCACTGCAACCTCTGCCTCCTGGGTTCAAGTGATTCTCCTGCCTCAGCCTCCTGAGTAGCTGGGATTACAGGTGTGCACCACCATGACCGGCTAATTTTTTTCATATTTTTAGTAGAGATGGGGTTTCACCATGTTGGCTAGGCTGGTCTCCAACTCCTGGCCTCAAGCAATCCACCCACCTTCGCCTCCCAAAGTGCTGGGATTACAGGCATAAGCCACTGCCCCCAGCCTAGTGTTTTTTTATTTTTTAGAGTCTCACTGTATCACCCAGGCTGGAGTGCAGTGGGGCAATCTCGGCTCTCTACAACCTGTCTCCAGGTTCAAGGGATTCTCCTGCCTCAGCCTCTGGAGTAGTTGGGATTACTGGCACCACCAAGCCCAGCTCATTTTTTTTGTTTTGTTTTCTGAGTCTTGCTCTACCACCCTCAGCTGGAGTGCAATGGCAAGATCTTGGCTCACTGCAACCTCTGCCTCCAGGTTTCAAGCAATTCTCCTGCCTCAGCCTCCTGAGTGCCTGGGATTACAGGTGTCTGTCACCACACTCAGCTAATTTTTTTTATTTTTAGTAGAGACGGGATTTCACCATGTTGGCTAAGCTGGTCTCAAACTCCTGACCTCATGATCCACCTGCCTCAACCTCCCAAAGTGCTGGGATTACAGGCGTGAGCCACCTCGCTCAGCCAATTTTTTTGTATTTTTAGTAGAGACAGGGTTTCACCATATTGCCCAGGCTTATCTTGAAATCCTGACCTCAGATGATCCACCCACCTCAGCCTCCCAAAGTGCCAGGATTATAAGCATGAGCCACCGCATCCAGCTCGGACTATTTTAGACACCCCCCTTAGATATACCCAGCCTGCTATGATTGTGAGGGTGCCTGTCCCTCCTGCTGGCGATAAGGAATCAGCTCCTGCCCCGCCTGTTTGCTCTAGGCCATGTCTTTGCCCTAGTCCCGGAGCAAATCTGGGTATTACTCATCTCTGAAGCAGGGCGTGGGAGCAGGTGGGGACAGTGTAGGAAGCCATGGGGTGGAGGTGGGTGACCCAGGCCCAGCTCTGCCAAAGCCAGCCAGCACCAGCTTGGCGAGTTTTGCCGGCCAGCCTCCATCTATTCACCTGTAAAGGAGGATTCTGGCAACCTCTAGAAGGCATGAGACCAGGGATTTACAAACACTGCCATGTCAGTGTCCCTGGGAGGTCACAAGCATTAAATAGGTAAAATCAAGCAGCCCTGGGGCTTGATGAGAACACACAATGAGGAAAAAAACATTTTCCCTTAGGGTGGCTCCTTGGCTTAATATCTGGGTCAGGCTGGGGGATTTAAGCATGTCTAGAGGATTTTTTTTTTTTTCCTGAGAGTTTCACTCTGTCGCTCTATCTAGAGTGCAGTGGTGCAATCTCAGCTCACTGCAACCTTAGCTTCCCAGATTAAAGTGATTCTCCTGCCTCAGCCTCCCAAGTAGCTGGGACTACATGTGCATGCCACCACAGCCAACTAATTTTTTGAATTTTTAGTAGAGATGGGGTTTCACTGTGTCAGCCAGGATGGTCTTGATCTCCTGACCTCGTGATCCATCCACCTCAGCCTCCCAAAATGCTGGAATTACAGGCATGAGCCACTGCATCTGGCTTTATTTATTTTTTTTTTTCAGATGGAGTCTTGCTCTGTCACCCAGATGGAGGGCAGTAGCGTGATCTTGACTCACTGCAACTTTTGCCTCCCGGGTTCAAGTGATTCTCCTGCTTCCGTGTTTCAAGTAGCTGGGACTACAGGTGTGCGCCATCACGCCTGGCTAATTTTTCTATTTTCAGTAAAGACAGGGTTTCACCACGTTGGCTAGGCTGGTCTCGAACTCCTGACCTCAAATGATCCATCTGCCTCGACCTCCCCAAGTGCTGGGATTAAAGGTGTGAACCATACTTGACCTATGACTAGAAGATTCTATCCATCAATGCAGTTTTTTTCTGTGTATTTTCTAGAAAATCGCTTTTTCTCTACATATAGGTTTTATCTGTAAAAAAATCTTTATTTTTATTTCAAGTAATTTCTTCAAACTTCCAGATGCAAAGTTTGAATAAAATCTTCACTCAAAGATACAAAGGGTTAATGAACGGTACGTGGAATCACAAGAGAATATTTTGGATGCAGGCCTATTTCTGCAAGTCCAGTCTTCCTAGATGACATCTCACACCTGCTGTGTTCACACTGGAAGGAAATAAAAGGCTATAGTTCACCTCATTCCATATTTATAATTATAGCACTTGGTGTAATTATACCTGCTGTTTTATACATCAGGATAGGACAATAAAGATTATACAGTGTGAGGTCAATTTACAAAATGTTTCCTCAAACAAAAGGACTATCCTGGAATTTATTTTACAGATGAAATTTTTCTTTTTTCTTTTTGGAGACCGACTTCTGCAGTCACCCAGGCTGGAGTGCTGTGGTGCAGTCTTCTGTCCTGCAGCCCCCGCCTCCGGTGTTTAGGCGATTTCCAATTCTAACCAGCTGGGATTACAGATGCGTACCAGGGTTTAGGCGATTTCCAATTCTAAGCAGCTGGGATTACAGGTGTGTACCACCATACCCGGTTAATATTTGGATTTTTAGCAGAGGCGTGGTTTCATCATGTTGGCCAAACTGGTCTGGAAGTCCTGGCCTCTAGTGATCTGCTGGCCTCACAATCCCAAAGTGCTGAGATTACAGGCATGAGCCACTGCCACAACAATTTTAAATAGCATGGAGGCCACTCAATCTAATAGGAACTGCCTTCCATGCACCGTCTGACATCCCTCAATCTCTCCATTCAGAGAAAGGGATCCAGACCTTCAACGACTTCCATAAAGCAAAACAAAAACAAGCCCTGTGACTAAGTCTAATCACCACTCTAGGCTCAAACTGAATGCTTTGAGAGGTTTTTCTCTGAATCCTAGCAACTCTTCAATAAGACAGAATTGTTGACTGAATTTTGGGTTTTCTTCAGTTTTTTTTTTTTTTTTGTATCATATATAGCATCATTCTTCTGTATTTTTTTCTTCTGTATTTTTTATGTGCAACTCTCTATGCCTATGACAGAATTTTATCCTTGTTTTCCTAAACTTGACTTAGAGGACGGGCCAGGACCCCACAAGCCTGGTCTCGGGCTCCGAGATCTGGGATCCTCTGTCAGTCACTGACATTGGGGAGGGGACTCATGTGGCACCCGTCTGATGTCACCCACACCACGTCCACTGAGGACCCTGAGTCTTGCCAGCCGTTGGGGACTGAACCTCCCAGTCCCTGTGAGGAAGGTGGCTGGGTGGGCAGGGCTGCTGCTGTGTCAGCCAAACAGACAGTCCTCCCTGCAAGGATGTCAGTCCCTGATGACGCTACCCACAGGCCGAGGGGGAGGACATGGTTGGAGCGTTTGACATACAAAGCAGCACCTTGTTTTACTGGGGGTAGAAAATAGGAATTCCGCTCCCTGCCTCACCCCACTTAAGCATCAAAGCTCAGACATCGGTGGAACGTGAAGAGTCTGAGACTGGGCAGTGCCAGTCACAACACTTGGGTTTCCAGACGTCGGACTTCCTTGACCACAAGATCAATGTTAATAATTGGGTTAAAGTACAGGGCCCAGTAAAACAAACAGTTGCAAACAAATTGAGGGATGAGGGGCCAGAACATGGCCACGAAAAGCCCCTGCGTTGATACTTTCCAGAAATGGCTCCACATCCTCTGAGGCACAGTCCTGAAACAAGAAGAGAGGCAGTTCAGAGGCTGAACTGGAGGCGCGTCTCATGACCACAACCAGGAGTCCGGGCCCTGGGCCTTTTCTCGGTGCTCTCGCGTGGCTGCCCGTGCTGAATGGCCTTGTCTTCTGTCCCCGGTGCCTGAGGCCTCTGCCTACTCAACCTATCTTCAACTCCCAGGCCGTGACCGAGAGGGCGCTTCTTGGTTCCCACACCGGACGAGGCCTCCCTGTGACAGCCTCAACTTCACCTGCTTCATCGCTTTGTTACACTTACATCTATTTTTTTTTCTTTTGTGACAGGGTCTCATTCCTTTGCTCAGGCTGGAGTGCAGTGGTGCAAATGTGCCAACTGCAGCCTCGACCTCCAGGTCTCAAGTGATTCTCCTGAGTCGCTGGGATCACAGGCACACATCACACCTGGCTTTTTTTTTTTAATTTTTAATTTTTTTACTTTTAGTAGAGACAAGGTCTTGCTATGTTACCCAGGCTGGTCTCAAACTCCTGGGCTTAGGGAATCCTTCCACCTCAACTTTCCGAGTAGCTGGGACTATAGGTGTGCACCACCTCACCCAGTTAGTTTTTTTATTTATCTTTTTTCTTTTTTGTTGTAAGCACATTGAGTGATTTTAAAATTTTATTGTTATTTTTGCTAGTTTTTTTATTTTTAATAGAGAAGGGGTTTTGCCACATTGTACAGGCTGGACTTGAACTCCTGGCCTCAAGCAACTCTCTCGCCTGCCACCATGCCTGGCCATCTATTTATTTTTTATTTATTTTTATTTTTTTGACACAGAGCCTTGCTCTGTTGCCCAGGCTGAAGTACTAGAGTACAATGGCTCAATCTCGGCTCACTGCAACCTCTGCCTCCCAGGTTCAAAAGATTCTCCTCCTTCAGCCTCTTGAGTAGCTGGGACTACAGGTGCGTGCCACCAGCTAATTTTTGTATTTTTAGTAGAGATGAGGTTTCACCATGTTGGCCAGGATGGTCTCGATCTTGGGATCTCATGATCTGCCTATCTCGGCCTCCCAAAGTGCTGGAATTACAGGCATGAGTCACTGTGCCCGGCCTCTGGCCATCTATTTTTTTAACATACATATTTTCTCTGCTAGGCTGTAGGCCTTCACAGTATAGACTGTCTTCTTTACCAAAAGATCTGCCATGCCCAGCAGAGAACCAGGAGTACAGCAGGGGCATAAATATGCATATTGTGTATAAATGAGTGAGTTTGCTAAATGGAAAGAAATGAGGGAGATTCTTTTTTTATTTTTACCTAGTGAGTCACCACTGGAAAGGTGAGGGAGATTACTGGGTTCTCAGAACCATTCACAAGGCTTCGAGTCACAGAATGTCAAGATGGGAGGCTGCAAGGGTGGCAGTGTTACTTCTGCCTGTCCAGCTACTATCCTTTTCTTCTGGAAGCAGCTTCTAAGTTGTTTTTTTTTTTTGAGACAGAGTCTCACTTTGTTGCCCAGGCTGGAGTACAATGGTAGGATCTTGGCTCACTGCAACCTCTGTCTCCCGAGTTCAAGTGATTCTCCTGCTGCAGCCACCCAGGTAACTGGGATTACAGGTACCTACCATCACACCTGACAAATTTTTGCATTTTTGGTAGAGATGAGGTTTCACCATGTTGGCCAGGCTGGTTTCAAACTCCTGACCTCAGATGATCCACCCACCTCGGCCTCCCAAAGTGCTGGGATGACAGGTATGAGCCACCATGCCTGGCAACAGCTTCTAAGTTTTTTGTGATTCTCTCTCCTTTGTTCTTTTCCATGTGGTCTGTCTGGGTAAGGTTGAAGCCAGCCTCTGGAGGTAGGGTGAGCCCATGCCCAAGGCCTGGGGTAGTACCACAGGATTGGGGTGACAGATTGCAGTGGGCATGTGACCCAGGTTTGGGTCCATCAGAACAAAGGCGGGTGAGCCCTGAGACCTCTTCGAGTGCCACGGGGAAGGAAGTGCTTTCTTTCTGGAGGTTTGCTAAGCTGCACAGATCAAAACCTGGAGTGGAGTAGCCAAGGGCCCTTACATGAAGAGAGCTGCCTGAAGCAGAAAGTACAAGAACAGTGCCGTGAGGGACAGAGAAAGAGTCAGGTCCTGGTGACAGCGTTTGGGTCTCAGGGTCCAGCCACGCTTGAAGCCTAAGTTATTATTATCCCAGTTGGTGGCATATCAGGATTAGAACTCATGCCTACAGAAATCCCTATGAGATCTCTATATGCTCTACCTTACTGCCATTTTTTATAAAGCATCCTGTGGAGACCAAAGCAACTCCATATTGGATGCTAATGGGGCATGGTGGCATGGTGACTGCGCATTAACTCTGGTTTCGGGGAAGCCTCTAAGATCTGTGGTTTATCTATTGTTTCTTGTGTAAGAGCACATACTTCACGTAAATCCTGGCCTTAGGTTAAACAGACTTGATGTTCTCTTGATGTTCTTCACATAAATCTTGACGCTAACAATTGTTCTGCACATCCCTTCTGAAGCATGTATGCCCCTTCCCTACATATACAAGCTCCGGGTCTGGTTATCCACCATCTTGTCCCACTACCACCCAAGACACAGACAGGGCTTCTGTTTGCAAGGCCTTATTAAATGTTTCTTGCTGAGAAACTGAATTTGTCAGCTTCTTTCTTCAGCCTCTTGGCTTCCTGATTTAGGGGTTAGGTTAGCACAGGGCTGCCTATGTTAAAACAGAACCTTTTCTACTCATTTGCTTATTCCTTGATTATTAAAATCCTTTGAACCCCTCCCCCTGAAATTAAATGGTATGTTATTGCATAGAGGTATGACATACAGAAAAATTCTTTTAACAATGAGCACCACAACTCCTACCCCCAAAACACAAGGTAATTGTCCTATTCACTACTGAAGCTGGGTTTCTCAACCCAGTATGAGGGGTCTGGATGGATGGAGGATTTATTTCAAGTTTGAGAAATACTTCAAAGAGGATCTTTCCTTCACTTGGTATTTCTTTCCTATCCCCTGTTATGACACCATTAAAATATACTTACTTCAGTTCACTTCTTGACCAGATTCTCCAAAAGGAGAATAATTCCAGAACTGAGAGTAACATAGCATTGATGATGAGAAACCGTGATGTCCAATAATGGACCTCCAGCCAGTCCCAAGCAAACTCGGCAATCAGCTGGTATGGAAGGAAGGAGTATTTGACCAGGAACTCTCTCCACTGCTTCCACGTAGGCTCCTTAAGATCCTTGAAAAATACCACAACAGACACAAAAAGTCACGAGGACTGAATTTTACACAAAATACTGTGATGGTCAGGCTAGGCACAGTGGCTCACACCTGTAATCCCAGTACATTCGGAGGCCTAGGTAGGTGGATCACCTGAGGTCAGGAGTTTTGACTGGCCAACAAAGTGAAACCTCGTCTCTACCAAAAACACAAAAATTAGCCAGGCATGGTGGTAGGTGCCTGTAATCCTAGCTACTTTGGAGGCTGAAGCAGGAGAACAGGTTGAACCCGGGATGTGGAGGTTGCAGTGAGTTGAAATCACACCACTGGACTCTACCCTGGGTGACAGAGGGAGACTCTGTCTTAAAAAAAAAAAAAAGTTGTGATAATCACAGTGAGTTCTACATTGATTAAAATGCACACACATGGCTGGGCATGGTGGCTTGTGCCTAAAATCCCAGCACTTTGGGAGGCCAAGGCAGGTAGATCACCTGAGGTCAGGAGTTTTGAGACTAGCCTGGCCAACATGGTGAAACCCCGTCTCTACTAATAATACCAGAAAAATTAGCTGGGCATCATGGCACATGCCTGTAATCTCAGCTACTTGGGAGGTTGAGGCAGGAGAATGGCTTGAACCTGGGAGGCGGAGGTTACAGTGAGCCGAAGTCTCGCCATTGCACTCCAACCTGGGCGACAAGAGTGAAACTCCATCATCTCCAAACAAACAAACGTACACATACATCCAAAAATCTAAAACGAAATTTCCATCCAGCAACTCATCTTACAATAATTAATCTTTTTTTTTTTTTTTTTTTTTTTTTGAGAGAGTCTTGCTCTGTTGTCCAGACTGGAGTGCAGCGGTACTATCTTGGCTCACTGCAACCTCCACCTCCTGGGTTCAAGTGATTCTCTTGTCTCAGCTTCCTCAGTAGCCGGGATTAAAGGCGTGCACCAACACACCCACCTGGCTAATTTTTGTATTTTAGCAGAGAAAAGGTTTCATCATGTTGGCCAGGCTGGTCTCTAACTCCTGACCTCAGGTGATCTGTTCATTTCTGCTTCTCAAAGTGCTGGGATTACAGGCATGAGCCACTGCGCCCAGCTGTAATTAATCTTAAATTAAGTAAATGTTAGCAAAAACATTGAAATAAAATGTTTGTCACATAACTGTGGCAGCTCAGAAGTAAAAATCTAAGTATGAATTATGAATAAACTGAAATAAATTTAAATTAACCAGTGTTTTACTCTCCAATCACTGCATAGGTAGCTTGAGCCATTTCCTGAATTCAACATCAGCTATGGTAGGATAATGGTAGTTTGTGGGAAAATTACAAACATTCTCTCCTCCCTCCAAAGTAATTTTTTTGTGGTGGTGGGAGGACAAGCTTTTTTACTACAAACATTAGCAGATAACCCCATCACTACTAAAAATACAAAAATTAGCCGGGTGTGGAGGCACGTGCCTGTAATCCCAGCTACTCGGGAGGCTAAGGCAGGAGAATTGCTTGAAGCCAGGAGGCAGAGGTTGTGATGAGCCAAGATCATGCCATTGCACTCCCGCCTGGGCAAGAGAGTGAGACCCCTTCTCAAAAAAAAAAAAAAAAAAAAAAAAAAAAATTTTGCCTGATGAAGAGGCAGGGGCTGCTAGAGATGGTTAAAACTGAAGAGTTGGGTGCCAGGTGCAGTGGCTCATATCTATAATCCCAACACTTTGGGAGGGCAAGGTGGGAGGAATGTTCGAATTCAGGAGTGCAAGGCCAGCCTGAGCAACATGGTGAAACCCTGACTCTGCAAAAAAGGCAAAAATTAGCTGGGTGGTGGTGGTCCCCTATAATCCCAGCTACTTGGGAGTCTGAGGCGTGAGGATCACTTGAGCCCAGGAGGTCGAGGCTGCAGTGAGCTGTGATTGTGCCACTGCACTCCAGCCTTGGAGAGTGAGACCCTGTCTCAATCAATCAATCAATCAAAATAAAGGTCAGGCTCTCTGCACAGCCACTCTGGTGAGATTAACAGCAAGTGGAAACTAGGTAATTAGAGGAGGACTGTGCAAGGGAGCTGATTAGCAAGCTTCAAACTATATTCAAGGCTGAAACCAGTTAGCCAGGCACTTCATTGTAGTGTTTACAAGGGTCTTTGGGGGGGGGGATCTTTGGAGATTTCGAAATTCTGTTTCAATATTTATGGGTGTGGATTATATTTGATGATTCCTCTATCCACGTGACTTGATATGAACTGGTCAGAAGGACTGGCCCCAAGAGTATCAAAGCAAAGGATATCACTCTCAAATGACTTACCAGATGTTCTGAAGGAATTCATGGGTCAAACTGAAGAAACATGGCACCCATGGTCGGTAGCAATCTCTGCAAATAACTCTACAGTGGAATAACTTTATTCCAGTCACACTGCAGACCTACCAGAAGCTTGGTGATGATGTCCTCCCTAGAGCTGTCTTCTTGCAGAGGGCAGATAGTGTGGATGAAGGGCAGGAAGGTGTCTGTGTAGTCAAACAGGTACAGGTAGAGCAGACCCAGCCTGGGGGAGCTCTTGAGGGCGTATAGCAGGAACAGGGACCTGCCTGGGTTCACAGCCTGCAGAGGAGGAGAAGAGCACAGGACCACATTACAACCATGACAGCCAGCTGGCCACCCACGCTCCTTCCCATCTCTGTCTCAAAAAAAAAATAATAAATAAAAAAAATTAAAAAAAATTCAATTTATTCGATTCTTAATAGCATCAAAATAAAATGAGCACTTCACCACAGAAGATAGAAGAATGGCAAATAAGCACGTGAATGCAAATTAAGTAAGAAATGCAAATTAAATCCCCAGTGCCCAGTGAAGATCACTGCATCCCTGTTGTAATCGAGAGGGCTGGGAGGGAGAGCTTAACAGGGGCAGAAGGAAACTTCTGGGAGTGACAGATATGTTCCCTATCCTGATTGTGGTGATGGTTTCATGGGTGTGCATATGTCAAAACTTATCACATCACACATTTTAAGTAGGTGTATATCAATTTTACCTCAATAAAAACTGTTAAAACATTCAATTTACCTGATGCTATTAATGACTTACTGTTAGATTTTTAAAAAGTGTGATGATTATGGCATTTTTAAAAAAGATTCTTTCTCTTTAGAAATGCATACTACAGGCCGGGTGTGGTGGGTCACACCTGTAATCCCAGCACTTTGGGAGGCCCTGGCGGATAGATCACCTGAGGTCAGGGGTTCAAAACCAGCCTGGCCAACACGGTGAAAGCCTGTGTCTACTAAAAAAAAAATCAGCCAGGCAGGGTGGTGGGTGCCTGTAGTCCCCAGCTACTTGGGAGGCTGAGGCAGGAGAACTGTTTGAACCCAGGAGGCGGAGGTTGCTGTGAGCCAAGATCACACCACTGCACTCCAGCCTGGTGACAGAGCGAGACTCCATTCCAAAAAATAAATAAATAAGAGATACCTTAGCCTCCCAAGTTCTGGGACTACAGTTGTGGGCCACCACACCCACCTAATATTTGTATTTTTAGTAGAGACAGGCTTTTGCCATGTTGGCCAGGATGGTTTTGATCTCCTGACCTCATGATCCGCCCACCTTAGCCTCCAAAAGTGCTGGCATTACAGGCGCGACCCACTGTGCCCGGCTATATCTGAAATATTCTAAAGTGAAAGATTTTAAGAAAAGATCTAACTTGGCCAGGCGCGGTGGCTCACGCCTGTAATCCCAGCACTTTGGGAGGCTGAGGTGGGCGGATCACGAGTTCGGGAGATTGAGACCATCCTGGCGATGTGGTGAAACCCTGTCTCTTAAAAAAAAAAAAGAAAGAAAGAAAGGAAAAAAAGAAAAGATCCAACTTATGAAATGGCAGATTTCCAAGCCTGGGGTAAGAAGGATACAGAAGTAACCTGACCATCTTGACACATGAGAAGGGAAACTATCAAACATCAACAAGGCCACATCAATAAGAACTCAGTAAGGCCAGGCATAGTGGCTTACTTATGCCTGTCATAAAAGCACCTTTGGGAGGCCAAGGTGGGAGGACTGCTTGAAGCTAGGAGTTTGAGAAAGCCCAGGCAACAAAATAAGACCCAATTTCTATAAAAAAAGAAAATCAGAAGTAGTGGTGTGTTCCTGTAATCCCAGCTGTAGAGTGACAGATGGATCACTTGAGCCCAAGAGTTTGAGGCTACAGTGAGCTATGATCCAGCCTGGGTGACAGAGTAAGACCCCATCATTTTTCCTTTTTGGTGGAGTTTTGCTCTTGCTACCCAGGATCGAGTCTTTTCCTCTTTCTCACTAGAGAGAGAGCTGTTTTCTTTTCTCTTTCTTTTGCCTATTAAACCTCTGCTCAACTTCTTGTGTGTCTATGTCCTAAATTTTCCTGGTGCCAGGTGACAAACCCCGGTTATTTACCTCAGACAAAGTAATATTGAAGACTGTTTCAATACCCTGTGCCTGTAGTTTATTTTTATTTTTTAGAGATTAATGCTGAAATATTTACCTATGAAAAATATAGCTGCTCAATTTTTCAAAATAATCAGGGATGGGAGAAGGTGAGGTATTAATGAAGTAAATGTGGCTCTGAGTTGCTTTTGCTTGTGGGGTAAATGGTAGCTTTTTTGCTGTTGTTTTTTTTTTTTTTTTTTTCTGAGATGGAGTCTCACTCTGTCACCTAGACTGGAGTGCAGTACACTCACTCTCAGTTCACTGCAAACTCCGCCTCTTGGGTTCAAGTGATTCTTGTGCCTCAGCTTCCCCAGTAGCTGGGATTACAGGCATGCACCACCACGCCTGGCTAATCTTTGTATTTTTAGTAGAGATGAGGTTTCACCATGTTGGCCAGGCTGGCCTTGAACTCTCGACTGCAGGTAATCCACCCACCTTGGCCTCCCAAAGTGTTGGGATTAAAGGAATGAGCCACTACATCTGGACAGATGGCAGTTTTGTATCATTATCCTGCTTCTGCATATTAGGAATTTTCCACCATAAAATTTTTTGGTATGTTTGTTTGAGATAAAGTCTTGCTCTGTCGCCCAAGCTGGAGTACAATGACATGATCTCAGCTCACTGCAACCTCTGCCTCACAGGTTCAAGCAATCTTGCCCCAGCCTTCCAGGTAGCTGGGCTTACAGGCATCCATCACCATGCCTGGCTAATTTTTTACTTTTAGTAGAGACAGGGTTTTGCCATGTTGGCCAGGCTGGTCTCGAACTCCTGACCTCAGGCGATCTACCCACCTCAGCCTCCCAAAGTGCTGGGATTACAGGTGTGAGCCACCACACCCAGTCAAAGTTTTTTTCTTTTTCTTTTTTTTGAGACAGACTTTTACTCTTGTTGCCTAGGCTAGAGTGCAGTGGCACGATCTCAGCTCACTGCAACCTTAGTCTCCAGGGTTTAAGCGATTTTCCTGCCTCAGCCTAAGTAGCTGGGACTACAGGCGTGTAGCACAACGCCTGGCTAATTTTTAAAAAAGTTTTAGTAGAGATGGGGTTTCACTGTGTTACCCAGGATAGTCACAATCTCTTGACTTTGTGATCTGCCCACCTTAGCCTCCCAAAGTGCTGGGATTACCAGTGTGAGCCACTGTGCCTGGCCAAAGTTTTTTTTTTTTCTTTTTTTAATTCAACTTCTGAAAGTATCTTAGTATCTTAAATGAACTATCTAGACATACATGGGAATAGTTCTTTACCCTAAACGTGTTTCCCAACCTTTCTTTCATTATCACCCCCTGAAAAGTCTTTTAAATTTAATTTTATTTTTTTGAGACAAGAGTTTTATTCTTTTGCCCAGGCTGGAGTGCAATAGCATGATCTCAGCTTACTGCAACCTCTGTCTCCCAAGTTCAAGCAATTCTTCTGCCCTAGCCTCCGGAGTAGCTGGGACTACAAGCACATGCCACCACACCCAGCTAATTTTTGTATTTTTAGTATAGAACGGGTTTCGCCATTTTGGTCAGGCTGGTCTTGAACTCTTGACCTCGTGATCTGCCCACCTTGGACCCAAAGTCCTGGGATTACAGGCGTGAGCCACTGCTCCTGGCCAAGAAGTCATCTTTTAAAGACATTTTTTCACAAAATCCCCTCCCCCGGAAATATTAATCCATGGGAATACCACCTGGATTATGTTTATGTGCTGTAGGCTTATGGAGGGCCACACTTATTGTAATAGCTAAGACTTTTTCACTTCCCAAGAACTAGGCTTTGCCCCACTGGGGGCAACCCTGCTCTCCCTGGGGTCACGTGCTCTAAAATAATGTAAGTCCCATGGCCAGGCACAATGGCTCACGCCTGTAATCCCAGCACTTTGGGAGGCCAAGGCAGGCATATCATGAGGTCAGGAGTTCGAGACCAGCCTGACCAATATGGTGAAACTCAGCCTCTATTAAAAATTAAAAAAAAAATTAGCCGGGCATAGTGGTGCATGCCTGTGATCCCAGCTACTCTGGAGGCTGAGGCAGGAGAATTGCTTGAACCCAGGAGGCAGCGGTTGTGGTGAGCGGAGATCATGCCATTGCACTCCAGCCTGGGCAAGAGAGCAAGGTTACATTTCAAAAACAAAAAAATAGCCGGGCGCGGTGGCTCAAGCCTGTAATCCCAGCACTTTGGGAGGCCGAGGCGGGTGGATCACGAGGTCAAGAGATCGAGGCCATCCTGGTCAACATGGTGAAACCCCGTCTCTACTAAAAATACAAAAAATCAGCTGGGCATGGTGGTGCGTGCCTGTAATCCCAGCTACTCAGGAGGCTGAG